AGCCCAGTTCCTGCAGAATTGCCTGCATCCCCGGGAATATTGAATGTACCTGAAAGTGCAACATGCGACGTGAGATCTGGCCCTGAAATTAATAGTCCCTGCTCCAGTCCAGAAGATGATTTTGTAATTGTACCAAGTGATCTCAGCAGCGATATGGATAACAATCCAAATCCTCAAATTAAGTAAGTTGTCAAACAATCTCAGGACTTTCGCTATTACAGTTTTTAATGCAAATCACTCACACATGAAAAAATACTTATCTACGTCGATGGACATCATTGAAAAGTTCGTGTAGAGCAATGAAAAATATTATACCGCTCATAGATGCATGCATTAATATCCTTTACATTATAACAATTTTTAGTACTGGTTGGCATCTTTGTCACATTAATATATTAAAATTAATTAGCTTTCCTAATTAAACAATTACTAATTAAGTTTAAGAAAATTCACACATACGGAACATTAGGTCTAATGAACAACTTGTATAATGTAAAGATTACTTTGCAATGCCCGACTGTTTGTATTGCACGATCAACAAATTCATGACGAATGAACGACCCAGAGAGAGAGAGAGAGAGAGAGAGAGCCATAATTATACTCTCGAGAGAATTCGAGAGCACCGGTCAGCCTTGCTACTAACCGCTTGACTCGTATCTATTTTTATCCGCACCGCGAATCGCCAAACCCATCCATCCGTAGTTTCTAATAGATTTGTCATGTCTGTCCTTGGCGCGCAACTCAAACAGATATACGAAGCTAAGTTGCCGGGAAGCCGCAGCCAGTCCACCGAGGCCCTGCTTCCTGCCCATCTCGGAGCCAATCCCCGTGCCGAACCAGCGGAGCGCCGCACAGGGAGGCTTCCCGAACCCCGCCAACAGGTCGGGCAACAGCGTAGTGCCTCGCTCCCAGCCGATCAGCATGAAACGCAGCTGCAACTCTCACAGGAATCACGCTCCGGACATCGGCTCACTCAGCCCACCGAGTGTACAGTTCGTCATCGGGACTCCACCTGGCAGAAGGTAAAAAGCGAAGCTTTCATTCCCTCACACCCCCCCTCCCTCACCACTCAATTTGGCAATCGTTCAATCCGCTCCCTCTCAATTCCGAATCCATTGAAAATCTCTCGTGCTCTACTGACCCCTCGTAGCACTCTCCACCACTGTCGAGCGCGAATCCTTAGTCCTTACTAACGCGAGGTTAATGCTTAGGTTGAGCGAGACACCACCCGCGTCCCATCTGTGGCAGGTGAGTCCAGTCGCGAGGCACTCGCACACACCGAGTGGGACGTCACCCCTACGGTTCTCGACCGGCGCCAACAGCTCCTCGTCGCCGCTACTCACCGGACCGCTGGCGGTCCTCGGCTCACCGACCTCCAAAGCACTGCAGGACAATAACAACACCATGAGACAGTCGCCCATCATACCATTTGGCACGAGGGCCGTCACTTTGCCGGAGATCTCTGGTGGGTTTTTTTTTCCTCTCTTTATTTTTCATTATTAATTATCGTATAAGCAAATTCCAATATTTTTGGCCATTTACTGTCGCAGCTTTTTTAACTTTACGATTGTAGAATATTAATTAAACACTTGATATTTAGCTATTTAGCGGCACACGCTCTTTATCATTTAGTACACGCTTTCTTCTTTTCCATTGACCATGATTTTCATCATGATTTTCAAAATCAGCTTTTCCACGTCTCGTGTTCGTGTTCATTATTTAAAACACCCGCTTTACCAACTTTCGTTCGCCTCGTGCAATGTTATCAAAGTTTGCCTTAAAATTATCATTATTTCATTGACTGTTCATTTTATAAAATGTTTGCTTTGATTGCATTGATTTATTACTTGTAAATTATCGCCGTACTGACGAAAGTTTTAATTTTTTATTTGTAAAGCGATATTCGTCATGTAATACGAATGCGTCGTACCTGCGTTTTTTTTTTTTTTTTTTTTTTTTTTTTTTTTTTTTTTTTTTTTTTTTTTTTTTTTTTTTTTTTTTTTTTTTTTTTTTTTGAAATCGTTAACAATAATCTAGAGGCCATAATTGTTAACAGTTAATTATCATTTATTTAACTAGTTGTAGCGTTGGAAAAACTGCACGCTCTCGTCAATTCTTTCTGCACCCAATGTCGTTTTCTTCACAGCGCAAAGTAAAAAATCCACGAGTTAATTTGTTCTTTAAAAGCCGAGGGTTACGATATTTAATATATATTCTAATCGTATGATTGGCTGCGTGCAAAAAGAAAGAGAAAGAAAGTGGGGCAGAAAGGATCGGCCAAGAGCGACTAAGTAAAGACACGCATTCACGATGTCGTACGCGGCCATACAAACAAACAACGATAATGATCCAATCAATCAATGAGCTTTCTTTTGTGTGTGTGTGTGCGTGCAACCGCCTTCTTGCCCGTCTTCACGCGCGCGCGCATTAACAAAAAAGAAGAATTTCTCGCAAACGCAGAGGCCGGAAGCTTTCACAATTTCTTCCCGGAGCTGGGAACGGTGACGGGCGAGGAGCGACCCCTGACGTTCGTCGCACCGGAGCTCCCGGAGGAGACGCTCCTCGAGCGGGAGCATAACGAGATCCTGGCCAAGCTGAACTTTGTGGTGGCCCTGTGCGAGTGCGTGTGCGAGGTGGCGCGAACGAGGGCCGGGCCACTGGGGGCTCCTCTCGGGGGCATCGAGCAGCCGAGCAACGCCGCGACGAGACGCAGGGCCGAGCAGGTCATACTCCTCGTGAGGGCCTTACAGTGGCTCAGTTCGGGACTGAGCTTAGCCACGCAGCAGTTGAAGGCCGGGCGATTACAGCCCACTGCCAATGTCAAGGAAGGTGCGTTCTTCGTTCGTCTTTTTCTCTTTTTCTTTTACTTCGTTAAAATTGGCTGCACCCCTCCCTCGACACCCTTACGTTCCATATCACCGACCACGCACAAACAACTCCAACACCTGACATCATACCCATGCCCGTTTTTTCCATCTCGTACCAAATTTCGTACCGAGTCTGCTCTCCTCCCTCTACCCCCGAAACTCACCTGCCTACATTGTTGGTATCTTTATAGTTTCTTCGTGTTTAAACTTTAGCACTAAAAATCCATTCTTTATATACATTAACGTCTAAGAATATCGAAAATTAACCGAAACCCTATTTCCTATTGAAATAAACATTCTCCTATCCAAGAATTTTTTTCTAAATTCACGATAGTGAAACGATGATAATTTCCCGTAATGTTAATTTTCTTTGTAATAATTTGATCCCATGAATAAACCTTCTATGTGTTGAATATCATATTTATGAATGTTCTGATGCTCTTCTTCTACTCGTTATATGTCTATTAATTTACTATCGAAACATTTATTCAATAAATCATCGCATAACGGTTCTCGATGCCATAAAATTGTTAATTCCCGTCGAAATAATAATAAACTAAAAAATAGTATCAACTGCAGTCCAAATATGATATTTTTCAAACCTTCTTCTCTAAGATATAATAACAATTTTATTGGCAAACTAATGTAACTTTATTACTATATCTCGACATATATTCTTGTACATATCTCCTTCTCCCTTTCTCACATTTATAAAATGTTCATACTTATGAAATTGCATTTTCTTTCAGCTGTGAGTACGATGAATGAAAAATTTAGATCTTGCCTAGCTGAGTGTAAGCAATTAAACAGTGCTGGATTGCTTCGACAAACTGGAGCAACGGCGGATAAAATTCTTTATAATCATGCTATACAAATGGCAAGTAAAAAAACAAAAGACTAATCAAGTGAAGCTTGAGTTAGTAAAATTATTTCATCGAATATAAATTTAATTAGTAGCCGATTTTAAATACAACAATTTAATCATCTTGTCGGCTAATTCTCTTGTCGTTAAAATAAGTAAACCATATGGAATATAATGTTGCTATTTTAGCAAACATATTTCAAAAGAATATTAATAATAACGATATATATATATCCATGATAGACTAGAAAAATAATTATATATAAAATATAAAAATAACGGCTTGATTTTCTTAAATATGCATTTAATTTGAAGTAAGTAAAGTGTAACTTGATTGGATTCAAATTAAAAGTTCCTTACGCTAGTCATCTTCATACGCAGAGTTCCAAATATTTATTAGTTTTAGTGACCATGCATAGTTAGTGGATGAAAAAATATTTCGTGAATAAATGAATAATTATTTTTCGATTATATTATTGAATAAGAATATTAGTCTCTTTTAGAATGATAATTTTAACGATGCTATTTGTAAAATGAAATAAAGATAAAATAGAATTGGTTAAGTATTTTGAATTACGTAGTCTAGTAGATGCGATAAATAATCTTTTCATAATTTATTCAGTGCCAGTCTGCAGCGCTAGACGAATTATT